AGACAACTTAAGGAATGAGGTCATTTACTTTGACTCACTGTTTGAGTGTATAGTTTCCCTAGTGGAGAAGTCACAGTGCTAGGAGAATGAGGAAATCAGGGGCAGGACACCTGTAGTGAGGAAGCAAAAAATTAGGAATGCTGACAAACACTCTCTCTTCGTTAATTAGTCATGATCCAACCCATGGAATGGCACTGCCCACATTTAGGAATGGTCTTAATGGTCTTTTTTCTTCATAGATATGCTCAATGGCTTCCTCGTACCTTATGATGATCATAATACCATAAAATTAACAATCAAGCCAACCATCACAAGTCTACTCTTGTATGCATTCACAAATATGTATCATTTCAAAACAAACGTCCCCATATTTCTCTCATAGACTCATGGTCTTCTTATAATGTAAAGGCATTTAGACCAATTTCAAAAGTCCCCCAAACTTAAAAAGCCCTCTTCTAATTATCCAGAAGTCCAAAGTACAAAGAGTATTCTGAAATTCAAGACAATTTCTTAAGTGTGAGATTCTATTTTAGAAATGCATTATTTTGCTGGATGGTGGTGGCACTCGCCTTTAATCCCAGCACCTGTAGCTGGATCTCTGTGAAGTTGAGACTAGCCTTGTATCCAAAACAAGTGTCAGAACAGTCACAGACTGTTACACAGAAAAACCGTCTCAAAAAAACAAAAAATAAAAAGATTATTTTAAAAAAAGAAATGCATTATTTTGATTACAATAGCACAGCGTCATTCCCATTCTAAAAGGGAGAAACAGAGTATTACAAAGAAGAATTTGACTGAATTAAATTTGACAAAAAAATTGAGTCGCAAAATCCTACATCTCCATGTTCCTCCTCTGCCTCCTGGTGGAATCTCCAAAGTGCTTAGTTATCTCTGTCTCCATAGCTTGCTGCCTGAAATATAGACAGACCCTTGTGAACCAGTGCCACCACATGTATACACCTTTCTCAACATCTGCCTCATGGTTCCAACATCTATGGCATCTTATAGAATCCTTTGTAATTAAGATTTTACCTTCACAGTTTTATTCAATGGTCTCTCTGGGTATCTGATTCTGTCAAATATTGTCTTGCCTCAGTGGATCTCTGAATTGTGGTGCAAGACTTCATGACTCCTTTAGTCTTGTACATTTCATACTTGAAAAACCAGTGATGTGTGGAAAATACCGCAAAATTCTGTTGCCAGTCTGGGGTGGAGCTTGTTCCATGGCACCATTGTAGAATTGACATTTTTGAATTGACCTGGAGAAATACTTCACTGGGTGGATTATTTGATCAAGAAATACCTATAAAGATAATCTCAGTTTGTACTCCCGTCTTCGTATTAATTTTCATTTTCACAGAATGAAGTTTCTGATAGGCAGGTTTTTACCCTCAGGGATAAGTCCTTGTGCAGAACATAAGTTTTGTCTTTTTAATGGCAATAATCTCTTTAGAAATTGCAGCTGCTTTTGATACTACTTTGTGATAATAAACCCCATTCTTTCATTTACAAAACTTAACATATCTGGCTGCTCCACTTTTGGGTCTTCCATTGTAGAACGCAATGAAACAGCAGCCACACCACACTCTGAATGTCATTGCCTTGCCATTCCCTTCTCTAAACTAATTAGCCCACTACTCCTTATCAACCTCACTCAAGTTCTCAGGACACAGGTAGAATGCATTCAGATTGTCGGCCAGAACATAGCCCCAAATGGCCTATAGCCCACTTTCTGATAGAGTGCTTGCTCTCTGGAACCTCACGAGCTCCACTGTTAGCATTATTATTTTATTAGCATTCTGGTATTTTAAATTCCTGAAAGGAAGGTTACATTATTCAAGGGATCTTTGTGTTCAACATTCTAAATTCTTCCACACTTTCCCATGAACTATTTGGCCTGGGAGTGATATGATTTGGCTTTTACAATCATTACCCCATTGTTGATAACAATTTTCTGTATTTGTTATAGTTTCATTATTCTGACAAAGAAACAAGAAACAAGGGGTGTATGTTGAGGGTACACCCCATAATGGTTTGGTGGCAGGGACACAAAACAGCTGCTCATATCGCATCTGTGGTCGAGAAGGAAAACATGACACTCATCTTCTTGTCCCCTATTCATTCAGTCTAGACTCTCCTCCTATGCATCGATACCACCCATATATCAGCTAGAGCTTCTCACCTCAATTAAAGTAATAAAGAAACACCCTTGTAGACATGCCCCTAGTGTTGTTTCTATGATGATTCTAAATGCTCTCAAGTTGAGCATCAAGTTTAACCACAGCAACATCTTTGAGTAAATATACGATAGGAACATTGTTAAAACTGCAAATTCAGGGGAAGAGGCAGGGAGGGGAGCAGAGAAAAATGTCGAGCTCAATAAAAATAAATAAAAATAAATAAATAAAACAAAAAACTGCAAATCCTTAACCAATCATCAAAAAGCTAGAATCACAAAATCAAAGTGAAATATTTGTAAAGTAAACAGAAGCTATAAGTAAAGAGTAAACAAACTTAAGTTTATTCTGGGAATGCAAGGTTTACTAAATGCATAACATTTAGCAACTTTCTAATAGAATTGAGCTAAACAAAAAATAAAAAAATTATATTATATTGTGACCCTATTAAAGCATTTGATAATATTAAAAATTCAATTTATTAAATCCATATGTAGTGGTTGTATGGTAGTGGTACATGCCTTTAATTCCATCACTTGGGAGGGAGAGGCAGAAAAATCCCATGCTTGAGGCAAGCTTGGTCTACAGATTATGTTTCAGGACAGCCAGGGCTACAAAAAGAAACCCTGACTCAAACGCCTCCCTGACAAAAACTCTATTCAAAGTAGAAAAGGCACTTGGTATACTTGGTTAATGATATATATGAAATGTAAAATAATTACACACAGTGATTGTGTTAAAAAGCTTCCCCGTGGAAGTGAAGTTGAGTTATAGCTGAGAAACTGAGAAAGAATGATTGCGTTTACTGCATTTATTAAGCATCACCCTGGAGGTCCTGTACAGGTGTAAATTAGTTTACAGTAAAAGTAAAAACAGAAACATTATTTGTAGATTTGAGCTAGGTGTATATATAAGGCAGAAGGTAGACATGATAACTAATGAGGAATATTCTATCTGTTGGCTAATGCCACTGTGACAAAGTACCTGTGACTGAAGCATCATGCAGAAGAAAGAAAAGTTTGCTTGGGTTCATGACTTCAGAGGTTCAGTCCATGTTCTCTTGGACTTGTTCTGTTTTGGTCCTAAGGCAGTGCCGTATATCATGCCAGAGCATATAGCAAAGGAAAAGCTCACTCCATAGCAACATAGGAGGTTGAATTAGAGAGAGGAAAGTGTTAATATCCCCTTCAATATCAAGTCCCCTTGACTTAACTTTCTCCAACCATATCCCAGGGCCCCAAAGACTTTACTATTCCCCAGTAGCACAAGATCCTGTGAACAATCCCCTAACACCTGACCTATTGGAGGAAACTCCATACTCAAATCCCAGCAAATATTGGGTGTTCTAGCAGATAGCAGGATTCTATTAAATGTACACTATGATGCTGGGAATACATAATGATTCTGTGTAGTCGATAAAAAAAAATTGTACTTACTGTGTGATTTCACTTAGAAAAAATATAGAAAACAGGCACCTCTATTATATGAATTCTCTTGAATTTAGGTAAAAGGACAATGTGTAACTTTGTATGTTTCCTAAATCTTGACTGTGATAGCAATGTCAGAAAAAAAAATCTTCCTTTCTAACTTAAATAGAGAGGCAACAATCTCAATTCTATACCTGGTGTGCAATAATGGATACAAAGGTGCCTTCTACATCCCACACCCCAGCCTGGGTCACTGGGAAGCAAAGACTAATGTCTCTTTTCTTCATTCTGTTTATTTAAGAGGAAGAGATTGAGATGCCAAGGCCAGAAAGAAGAGGTAAACATAGTTATAATCATCATCATTTTCAAGTGGACTTTGCGTGTACTAACAACCTTGCTGGTTTCCTGAAATACACAGCTGATTTCTGGCTCTTAACAGCTAACCTTATATCTCTAGACAAAACAAAGGGCTATATGACCATTGTTCTGTAAGAGATGGGGGCACTTTATGAATTATCTCATTTGTAGAGTCATCCAGAAATAAAAGACCTTGTATTGGTGTGTAGACTTGAATGAGAGTTCCCCTTGAAAACTGAAATGGACTTAGCCCACTTCCTTTTGTGTGCTTGATGCATTTTCTACGTAGAACATGGACATTTACCAGTGTTTCATTTTTAATTTGATTGTTAACTTCAGTGCTTAGCTAAAAACCTAATCCAAAATAAATTGTAGATTCCTTTCTATATAGAAAAATATTTATTTATTTATTTTATTTTTTTATTTTTTGTGTTTGTAAGGTGTGCACTTTTATTAAACCAGTCTCAAGTCAGTGTACAGGCAAGCCCTGGCTGCCTCAACACCTCAGTCCACTCCCAGGGAGACCAAAGCCTTCATACATCAAGTTGGGGGGACAAAAAAAAGGAGAGCCATGATGGCTGACCATTCAAAAATAAAAAAAAAAAACAAAAAAGTATTAAGGCGGAAGATTTAAAAAGTTTTTTGCAGTACATAATTTACACAGAAGCAATGCTGTCACCTCCCCGGTGTGGACTCGGGGCATGGACTCCGCCATCCTCCCCTGCGGAAATGGGCGTGGCCTTTGGGAGGGTGAGGAACTTCCTGTAGCCATATCTCATGGATACTTGGAATGACTATTAAAAAAGGTAAAAAAAAAAAAAAAAGAAAAAGAAAAAATGTACAATCAAAGTCCTCAGCCACATTGTAGAACTTTGGGGGATGCTTGTTCCAACCAACTGTTGTCGCCTTCACCGTTCCAGTTTTTAAATCCTGAGTCAAAAGCGCCAAAACAAAACAAACTCTTTTAAAAAAAAATTTAAAAAAAAAACAAAACAAATAAAGCCATGCCAATGATGTCTCATTTTTTTTTCTGCGCAAGTTAGGTTTTGTCAACGAAAGGGTGTAAAACGCAGCTCAGTCACAGTTTGCCTAGAAGCATTTGAGGTGCACAATGGAGTGGCCAGACTCATCATACTCCTGCTTGCTGATCCACATATGCTGGAAGGTGGACAGGGAGTCCAGGATGGAGCCACCGATCCACACAGAGTATTTGTGCTCGGGAGGAGCAATGATCTTGATCGTCATGGTGCTAGGAGCCAGAGCAGTGATCTCCTTCTGCATCCTGTCAGCAATGCCTGGGTACATGGTGGTGCCACCAGACAGCACTGTGTTGGCATAGAGGTCTTTGCGGATGTCGACGTCACGCTTCATGATGGAATTGAATGTAGTTTTGTGGATGCCAGAAGATTCCATACCCAGGAAGGAAGGCTGGAAAAGAGCCTCAGGGGCACGGAACCGCTCATTGCCAATAGTGATGACCTGGTCGTCAGGCAGCTCATAGCTCTTCTCCAGGGAGGAAGAGGATGCAGCAGTGGCCATCTCTTGCTCGAAGTCCAGGGCAACATAGCACAGCTTCTCTTTGATGTCATGCACGATTTCCCTCTCGACTGTGGTGGTGAAGCTGTAGCCACGCTCGGTCAGGATCTTCATGAGGTAGTCTGTCAGGTCCCGGCCAGCCAGGTCCAGACGCAGGATGGCATGAGGGAGAAATAGATGGGCACAGTGTGGGTGACCCCGTCTCCGTAGTCCATCACAAAGCCAGTGGTACGACCAGAGGCATACAGAAACGGCACGGCCTGGATGACTATGTACATGGCTGGGGTGTTGAAGGTCTCGAACATGATCTGGGTCATCTTTTCACGGTTGGCCTTGGGGTTCAGGGGGACCTCGGTGAGCAGCACAGGATGCTCCTCAGGGGCCACATGCAGCTCGTTGTAGAAGATGTGGTGCCAGATCTTCTCCATGTCGTACCAGTTGGTGACAATGCCATGTTCAATAGGGTACTTCAGGGTCAGACTGCCTCTCTTGCTCTGGGCCTCGTCGCCCACGTAGGAGTCTGGCCCATGCCCACCCTGACGCCCTGGTGCCTAGGGCGTCCCACGATGGAGGGGAAGACGGCCCGGGGAGCATTGTTGCCGGCAAAGCCGGCTTTGCACATGCCGGAGCCATTGTCGACAATGAGCGCAGCGATATCGTCATCCATGGCGAACTGGTGGCGGGTGTGGAGCGGCGAAGAAGGAGCTGCGAAAGGCCTGCGCTCACGGGTGGACACGGACTCGACTAGAAAAATATTTTAAATAAAATATATTAATAAAGATTTTTATTACATACATTAGTTGTATTTTTAAGATTCCCTGAGTATTAAGAAATTAATTTTTCAGAGTCAACGAAAACAATTCATTTATTTCAGTAGATATCAAAATTGTCTCTGTATTTGTGATGGTATGGGCCATGCCATCTTATTTAAAGACAAGATTGGGACCATAAATACCAGTTTAATTATAATCAAAATCGTATTATAATCAAAGAGGGTGCTCCATCAGGAGCTGTAAAAGTATGACTACAAAAGACATTTTTAGCCTTATAAAAAATCCTATTTTTTTCAAATTTTTATCTTTGTGAATAGAAATTTGAATCATAATCTATTTATATTTCATATTATTTCTTAATTTGTATAACCAAATGCTCAAGCCTTATTAAACTGAGCAGCATGAGGTTAACATTCAAGTTTTAGGCAGAAAGACTTAACTCTAAAACACCATATTATAGTTTAGCTATTTATCTATAATCAAATATATAATAATTAGATAAAATGCAAAAGTATTTTAAATCCATCATTCAAAGTAATCTAATTTATATTTATGACTTCATAATTATATTAAGTGGCAATGATGACTAGAATCTTACATATTGAGAATGAGCAATAGATAAAAGATAAACTTTTATCTTTTCCTTGGTTATTCGATCTCACTAATTACACATTTAATAATGATCAATTACACGTTAATGCACATAATTGTTTTATTAAATCTAAACCATAGTTAAATGCTTATTTAATAATCTAAGTTAGCATTGCCCTTTAATCTCTGTCAGTAAATTAGAGTTGCATTCATCCACCTAAATTTTAAATTATCTCTTGTTCGGCTCTCTGCTTTCTTATCTTGAATTTTTGGGGGAAATCAGCCTATTTTATTTGAACGAAGAAAACAAAGCCAAGAAGAATTACATTTTAGACCTCAAATGGTTGAATTTATTTGAATTTGTTTGTTTGTTTGAATGCCAGTATCTAAAAGATAGAGTTAACATTTATTTTAAAAATGAACTGATAAAGTAATAATTTTAAAAACAGGTAATTCTCAGCTGCTTAGGCTGCACTTTAGGCTCTTTAGCTCCTTATATCACTTACTTGTCAAACAATACTGAAGATCAGGATTATTAGGGGAAAAGGGAACTAAAGCAAGAAGGCTTTAAGGGACCTTTCTAGGCAGCTGCTGATTGCAGACCACAGTACTCATCTCTGGAGCTTTTCCTCACTTCCTTTTCCTCCCCAGCCTCTTCCACTGGCACTGAGAGGAGAAATATAACTAGGAAGTTGCTCGTCACCTCCACAAATTATTCCAGGTTGGAGGAAGATTTTCCAATTCACTAAACCATATAATTTTTTAAGTTCTACTTACAGTCCACTATAAACTTACCATAGTTTATTTACTTTCATTGAAATGATACTAGAATATCAAAGAAAAATTATTTTACATGATTGAGCCGATGTCTATAGTAAGAATGAATTGCATTGCAATTCAAGGCACACATGCATACACAGTTACACATATGAAGAAAACCAATGAGCACCTCTCCAAACTTTTGGCATATCAGTTGTACACATAGTTTTACAGTGATTGAGTAGAATGCACCATAAGATCCCCTCTTAAGAAAGAAATTTTACAAGCTACAGAAAAAAAATCCAAAATGTATGCATTCTTGCACAAATCCTATGCAAAGTACCATGCACAAACTCTTGTCTAAAAAATTCATGATTGTACAAGTGATAAAAGTATATCATTTTGCAGAGAAGTTATCTCATACAAGCTCAAATATACTAATGAGAAAGTGGCATACCCTAATGGCACCCCCATGTCTTTTTCCCACTTCCTCATCTAAGAATCTTAGAGGCACAAAAATATTTCAGAAGAGTAATGTACATAGAAATGGACATAAAGGGCTTCAGTTATGCTTGAGGGTCCTTCATACCTTAATTATAGTATATATTTATACTGAAGAGGGTATGTAAGTAAGTAGGCATTTGTATAGCACTTAGGCATTTAATTGCAATATGAAACAATAAATACCCATGAACGCTAATGATTTATGAGGCACAAAACTGTCCTTCAAAGCCGATCTATTCTGAAGATAGCATTTTCAAAGGCATTTATTATTTTATAGATATCATATAATGTGTTATAGCATGAGCATATAAGATCTAAATATTATTGATAGTTCTTACAAATTTTTGCGGTTTGAGTTGGTCCCAGAGTCAAATTGACTGAAAGTGGTTAAGCTGCCAAAAGAAGTATTGCATTATCAGACACTATTTTTAAAAACTTTTAAAAAGGTCACTGAGCTTCTCAAAAGAAGAGTATACAGCTATAAGTTCCATCTAAGGTGGTTACATGAAAGAATCATTCATACTAGCTACAGGCAAATGCTTTTTTCTCATAACCAGCAAGCTTGGATTTATATCAGCTTGCTTCAAAGCAATGTCTTCCAGCCAGCTCTAGACTGTACAGAAGAGTTCATTTCACCCCTCGGGCCTGGAGACCTGGCCCCAATGAGATACATTGCTTCATTTTGCTTCCTCGCTTAGTGTCTCCTGTAGGTGGTGGACTGGTGAGATGGTATCTGGAAGGTGATTTGGTGAAAATGGTGGTAATTTAACAGCAATTTTTGTGGCTACGCTACCCCAGTAGGAGCCATTCCATTTCTTCAAAAGTAAGAGCTTTTATCAAGAATCCAAGGAGGGAGGCTTGTGTGCTCAACATGGAGTTAAGTTGAAGAAATGGGTAAAACACACAGAGCTGATTCTAGCTCGACAGGCACCCTCCACACAAGATGTGCTGTGGGCACACAGAAAGGCAGCACCGTAGGGAGGGCTCAGATTAAATCATACCCGCTGCCGCCATCAGTATTCTTGCTTGTCGTGGCTTTTCTATTTGGGGAGAGCTTATCAACAGACATGAGTTCAGAATGATGAGTGAGACAAGTGATAAACAGAGACGGAGAAAATGAAACTAAGCCCTCTTTCATGCCTGTTCTCATTGTTCTTAGTCAAAAAGCAGAAGTGCATGGGCGCCCGGCGTGTCACCCTGGGACGTTCGCGGTTTTGTTTTGTGATTATAACAACTTTTAAAAAATATATTGCTTTTGAGAGGAAATGGGAAAAACATTTTTCTTCACCTGTCTTGTAGCACATGTAGAAGAAATATATAAATCTTACTGAACACACATTTTCAAATGAGACTCCTTTTCTTAAATACTCAATTCATATATTAATTTCTATAAGTCAAATTATAATTTTCCTAATGAGACGACAGACTCACATTCAAAAACAACATAAAACAGAGGTAGACTTTTCATTTTCCTGAAGAATTTAAGTGTCAGAGTTACCATTTTTGTGGCTTTTGATTATTTATGTATCCCGTGGCCAAACCTCGGGATAGGCCTCCTTTTTGTTTGTTTGTTTTTGTATAACCATTTCTTATCAAATTTATGAAATCTATTTAAACTGAATTTTTAATCTATTTCCAGCACATACACCGTCCCCTCAGATGCATTTTCACTATCTTCTGAATTAGCAAAGTTGCTTTAGACGTTTGGGACCTGTTACATTGTAGTTGAATCTCAGGTCCATCTAGATTTATATGGCGTGCACAACACACACACACACACACACACACACACACACACACACACACACACACACACTTGTAGTGTCTTTCTTTAGAAATGGTAGGTAGACAGAGCAGGTCTACATTCCATTTTATAGCTCAACATCACAGTTACACAAAGGCAGTCCACGATCTCATTTTCATTATCATCATATTTTATAGCACATTAAATGTGTAACTACAGCCTTATCATAATTTGAAGTACACAAATCCAGAAATTAGTGATACTCTGAACATTAGGTACAGAGAAACATTATGGAAGGAATAAAACTTTTTTTTAATTACATAATCGATAATACAGTACATATAATAGTGATAGCAAGGAAGATTATTTCAGAGGTTATTTTTTTAAAAAGCATAACAGACTATTGTATTTATGCTTGTAGGATTAGATCCTAGAGCAGGAATCTTCTGTGAAAACTTGTAGATGTGTGCATGAAATAAACATAGGAGAAGCTTGCTCCTGCTGGCTACATTCTTAACTATTCTAAGGTCTGACCAAAGGCAATCTGAGAGGAATTATTTAAACCACAGAAACCAATTATTGACAAAACATTGTATAAAATGTATAAATTATTTCTTTGTTTTCCTTGCAAAACACAGTACTTCTATCTGGTTGACATATGAAGAAATATTAAATTAAATACAGCTGAAAGGAAAAAAAAATCATATCACAGATACATCAGAGAGCTTATAAGCAAATTCTAGTTCTTAAAGTTTTATGTCTCCTCTGGTTCTTCAAATTTACAATTTGGTATACTTCTGTTTTCTATTTGAAAGAAATATTCAATTTGTACCAAGTTTTGGCTTCACCATTTTATATACTTGCCCTTAAATATGTTCTTTCGAATATGTTTTTCCTTACAGATCCAAGTTCTTAGAAGGGGAAATGTGCATAGGCAGCAAAATCAAAATATTTTCCTCTTATAGCAGCAAGATAGGAAAGATAATCCCCAAATTATATTCAGGACATGACCTTGAAAGACATATATTTCAAGAAGGAGATCTCATGGGATTCCCACAAAAGACAAAGAACCACTGGCATCTACCAACTGAAGGAGGGAGCATTACCTTCTTCCAAACATGGTTCTCTTAATTAGTTAGTCTTGAAATCATATCTACACAAGGCATGATACATGGATTCAACAGTGTGTGTGAGTATGTGAATATATCTATATATATTTATACAATAATAATGATATGGAGACCAATAATGAGATGGAAGGAGAGAAATGAATGTGAATTGAAAGTTGGGGGACATGGGAATAGGAAGATTTGGAGCAGGGTCATGGGAATGGGATGATGTTAGCATGGGAATGGGAAGGTG